GGCCGTCCCGCTGAAGCCCTGCACATGCAGCCAAGGTCAGCAGGGCCACAATGCAGACCCTCAGCTGAACGCTAATACACGGATGGATCCTGCCAGGCCCAGAACAGATCAGATTGGGAGAACTGCCCAGCCAATTATAAATAGACCTGTGAGCAAAAGTGAATGCTTCTGAGGCATGCCACCGAGGTTTCAAAGTTTTTTGTTATGTAGTACGTGTGGTGATAGCTAAGTGAAGCAATCCGTTTCTTCAAGGTAGCCTTATCATTTCTCACATCAGCAACCCCATAGGCCAGGGACCAAACAGGAAATGCTGCCATCTAAGATCTAGGAGCAGCAGGGAGAATGGGAATGTCCAGACTCCGAGCCCAGCACTAAGGCCTGCTGTGGTCCTGCTGTGTCGTCCCGGCTGATGACCTGATTTGGCCGCTACAGGCAAATCACTCCAAAGCTGAGTGATTCCTCTCCTCATTTTTTCTTTTGGGAATGCTGGATTGTGTGTTTTTATTTACCAGTTTTCCAAATAATAGGTGTGCCCTAGCAAGCTCCAAAGATGATCAAAGTTTTTTGGTTTTTTTTAGATCATGATGAGGCCATGTGTTTCAGTCCCTTGCAGGGGTTGTGGCTGCTATTATTCTTAATGCTCACATTAGTTCCTTTCTTGCTATAATTTTGTCACTTTAAGAATATCATGTAAATGGAATCACATGGTAGGTAACCCTTTGAGATTGTTTTTTTCACTCATGATAATGCCTTTGAGATCCAAAGTGTTGTGCTTATTGAAGGAAACCAGAATATATCACCCCCAAATATACCTCTTTGACATGAACATTTTTCTGAGCTGAAGGCAGTTAAGAACCAGCAATGCAGAAAATGCAGGAAAAGCTCTCTCTACCCTCCCTCTTTTTTGCCTAAAGGCAGTTTATAAATTCTCCTTTACTGGAGATGGCTCTAGACTCTTATTAGCCCAGAGAGGCCGCCAGAGGAATCTGTAAACAAACCTTACTCCACTACATCAAATCTTCCAATTCATGCATATACTCTGTCTCCATTTATTTATGCATCTATTTGGTTTATCCTTCTCTTGTTTCTTTTGAAAATATGTTTGTGTGTGTTTATATGTAGGATCTGTACGAATACATATAATTCACATTCACCCCTTTCTCATACAAAAATACCATACTGTATCTATTATTCTGTACATTGCTTTTTTTTTTTTTTCCACTTAAAAACGTATTCTGGAGATTTCTCCAAGCAGATGTGGAGGTCACCCTCAATCCTCTCTGCAGCTGCACAGTACTCTGTTGTGTAGATGTACCATAGCTTTTGTAGTCAGTCCCCTGATTCTCAAGAGACATTTCTGATGTTTCCAACTTTGTGCAATTACCAATAATGGTGCAATCCACTAGCTCAGTGGTTCTTTATGGAGCGTGTGAGGATTGTCACCTCTCCTGGATCCCCCATCCCAGGGTGTGGCTGTATTGGTGAAGGAGGGTGGGCTGCCTGCTGAACACTGGTTGCCTGCTGTACCG